CAGCACATTAGAAGTATTTATTATTTACTTCATCAGATTATATCAGAGGCTAGCTGTAATTGTATTTATTAGGCTGCATAATATATAGTTTCAGCATCGATATCGCAATACTTACATCACAGGATATGTAATTTTGAGTCTGTATTATGATTTATCGTGATTTTTTTAGGCATATCAAATTGTACCATCTGTAAATTTGATAAAGATTAATTTTATTGAATTATTTTTATTATTCAATTACTGTTCCTGAATACTGTTACGACTCGGAAAAAAATAAAACATTGTTTATTTTAATTGTATTTTTTTATTGTATTGATCTGTGCTGTGTTTATTATATTTTATGCTGATCCACATCTGTACAGAATCATTTCCCAAACAGTCTAAAATTATTAGTTCTTACCGAATAAAGATATTCAAGTTATCTGGTGAAATTGTATGCATATCGCAATGTATATCACAGAAAATATAGCAATGTTCCATTTTTCCAATATCGTGCAGCCCTAGTAGTTAACGTATTCTTAACGTAGACTAGTATAGTATTCTAAAAAAATTGCTCGAAGCCTAACACTGAATTAGTTAAATCTCAATATTAAATGTCATTTATTTTCATCTTAAAAGCGTAATCTTTGATTTTAAATAGATATTTATTTTAATTTCAAATGATGCAGTAAAAAAACAGGTTTATCATGCTATACAGTAGGTAGACTGCAGAGTTTTCATTTTATGCAAAAGTAGTAAAAGTAATTTTATTTAAACAGTTACCCATTAAATAAGATCAATTATTATGAAAGCAACACAATTGGATTCATGATGAAGTCATTACAAGCTCTTTTTTCCAAAATTGAAAAATGTTTTTAAATCTTGAAAACACTCACTCAATTAAATTAAAGCATTTTCAAAGATTTTTAGCACACATATTAACCCTGGCGAAAAACAGTATGCAAGTAGCATGTCAAAATCTACAATATTGGAAAAGCAGTAAGTGAGAAGTACCCAGATGACCTACTACTTTTAGCGAGATTCTGAAGTCCATCCAATAGACACTTTACTATCCCATAAAGCCATGTGAGATCATTTGTGAATGAGAATAAAGTGACGCAACTGACTCAGATAGATTATGTGATAATGACAACCTAGTGGATGTAGCACGTCCAAATTTCATTCATACTACTCAGCTTTATCCAATATAAAACATACTTTTTTATTGTTCTCAAACTTAATTAAAATTCAAATGCAGCTTATATTCAAGCAGTCTGACATTTTGCATGCAGCTAAATACTTTATGGGCATTTGAATGCTTGATTCTGATTGGCTGATGAACATTCTAAAGTGTTTATTTTCAGTTACAGTAAACATATATAAAGTAGTTCCAGGCAGATTTTTGACCCAGTGCACTTCCATATATCAATACACTGAATGATTTGAGCTATTTTACAGCTACAAAAGTCGAAAATCTGCTCAAAAGTCAAAACAGAAAGCTTTGGATGAGATGCATGTAAACTAGTCCTACATACTGGAGCAGTTTGAGGACAAAAACCTGACAAATGGCTTGAAATTCAACATCTGAACAATGTTTTTAGGGGTGTTAAATGTAGTACAAGGTGAATAATTGACTCTGGACCACTGAAATGTAAGAAAATACTGCACAGCTGCTTCGAGTCATGGCCACATCATGCCACAGCATTGTTTTCAAACAATTCAATGGCCCTTCATCAATTATTTGATAACATTTAACTACAAGATAAACTTCAAATAAAATAAAATGACAAAAAAAATATATATATATAAAAGTATATACTATAAATAAAGCTAACTAAAAACTATAAACACTGCAAATACAAACTGACCTTATAATGACACAGTCCAAGAACTCGGTGAGGCGGCCATTTTGAGTAATGTAACTAAAATCTGGGAAACGTCTCTGAAATGGAAATACAGAATGTTACGTTTACACTACTCATCTTGCAGACTACAGAATTATACTCAAAATACAGAAAGGAGAACAAAGAAAGTACTGTTGTGTGACATACGTCATCATTAAAGCCCATGTGCATCCCGCAGTCCAGCATGATGTTTTTGCCTCCGATGGAGACCAGAATACAGCTGCGGCCGACATCCTGACCAGCCCCTAAAACAGAACAAATACACACATTTACCACTTACTTACTTACAAATATTTACACGCTACAGTCAATTTCGATTATGATACTTACCTTTTATAAAATTGTGAGATATGTGAAGTTTGAATATTTGTATACGCACACATAGTTTTGTTTTTTGCATATTTTAAAAACATTTTTAAAATGTAATTTGTTTTTATGATGGTGTCACGTTGAAGCTATTTCAGAAATCAGCGTATTTGATTTTTTATTGTTTTTCTCCATTAAAGGGCACTTATTTTAACCATTTTTTCAAGATTTAATATAAGTCTTTTGTGTCTCCAGAATGTATCCTTTTTATATCTGGGAAATTTGAGCTGTTATGGCATTGTAGCAGTTTTTGTTGCCTGTGCCTCTAAAGCTGGTTTTCCTCACCCACCGTTCACGTAGATAAACAGCACAGTGACAGACAAGAATAAAGCAGATCTCCCCTACGACAGGGTAACTTTCTCAACGGTTATTTGTTATGTTTGCTAGTGAGTTAATTCAAGCCTTTCTGCAGCTATGAGTAGGCACACACGGAATCTGCGCGCGCAGAATTCCGCAGGTTTTTTCCGCAGATGTTCCGCAGATTTCTGGAGATTTTTAGCCCATTATTAATTCTATTTATTTACTTGAGTAAATGTGTAAATCTGAATTTATTCAGTTTTTATTCAGTAATTTATTACTTTTTATTTAATATATTAAGGTTTTAGTATACTCCGCAGGATACTCCCAAAATAATTCCGCAGAAATCTGCAGATTTTTAACAAAATTCTCCGCAGAAATAGCAAAAACCGTCCGCAGATTCCGTCTGGCCCTGGCTATGAGTAATACAAAATGTTGTTATAAAGTTTGTCCACACACACACACACACGTTTAACTTTGCCCTGTTTTTGCACGGCAAATGTGACAGAATAGGATACACATTAATATACACTGCTGTATGGGTATCCATAATATTGATGTACAAAATAAACCTGATTTAAGCCCACAAACCAGGATTGAAGTGCCTTTTATAATTGTACTGAATTTCGTAGCGATTTTACTGTCTTTATTACAAGAATGCACTGTTTAAAAACGTGTTAAACTTGTAAAAGTCATTTTTGATCACATTTGATGATCACAGCGAGCTGAACAGATCTTTTAATCCCGGCTGCTTTGCGCATGTCCCGTCTTGTTGATATGATTATACGCATTACTACGAAAACATGTTAATACAGGTTTGTCAATCAATTCGGTGGGCAGGAAACCGCACTCCTATGTCACGTTGTGGTGGGCCTCAAAATGGGAGGGATTTGGATCCTATTTAAAAAAAAAAAAAAGAGACTCATTGTGTTTCTATCACTTTGATATGACAGTGGACACACTATACCAGCACACAGTTCTGTCCACACAGCTTTCAAAAGATGATTTCCATCATAGCTGCCCTTTAATAATGGTTTTAACTAAGTATCAATGTTACAAACAGTTCTTGATGTTTAATAACTCTTTTAAAGCTTTTTAAAATACACATTTGTAATGAAAATTACATTACTTATATCTTTACCATCATTTAAATATATTTAATGCATTGAAGTTGACCAAATAAGTCATTTCTACATTATTAAATAGCAATAAAAATACATTAAAATAAAGGATATTTCAAACTTAAACCTTTTTTCAACCTATCTCAATATAACATAAAGACTTTTACAGACTTAATTACATACATATATTATATAATAATAAAAACATTTACAAGAATTTTGTAAAAAATAAGTTGACCCATCATGTAAAATAATATGTAATATACTAAAGTTACTATCACGAATACTTGTTAAATTAATATATAACTCACTTTAGTAACTATACGCATTTATTTCGGATTTGTTAACCATCATTTATACATATTTTGCTAAATTTACATACACAATAAGCAAACCGCTTACCTAAAGGCGTAACTTTGATATCAGGCATCTTGGCAGCTTAGCAAAGATCCGAAATAAATGTTTTATTCTGTTTACAGAAGACCGACAGGCAATCTGTAACGTTAGATTAACGTTAGCTGGACATAAATTCCACACTTCATGTGTGCATGTCAGTCATCTTATGTACTATAGCTCACTCTCTTAATATATATTATGACTTTGAAAAACGGTAGATTTGTTCAAATACTAGATAATAACACACAGGTTAGCAAAAAGCTAAACAGCGCCACAGCCATAACTCTACATGTGGGCGTGGCTTAATGGTATACGCGTTTTCTGTCGTTCTAAATAATAATTTTCCTGTTTAAGCTTTACTATAATTTTTTTATTTACCGGTTATTAAAACGATTAAAGCTTATTATTTAGGCTTAAATTATAATCACTGCCGCTAATAAAGCGAGGAAAAAAAATTTAATGTCACGTGTATACTGTTACTTTTCGCAGCGCTGGTAGCATGGACTAATTATATTCGTTTGTGATTACTGGACAAAGCGTAATAAATATTACTTTATTCATATACTTTATTCATAGGCGCATTTTCATTCGTTTCCATCAGTAAATCATCTACGGAGTTACTAAATTTAAACAATATCAGTTTTCAACTTATAAATATCTCCAATATGTTTAACAACCTTCAGATATGTCAACTCCAACACAGCGCTAATGTGAATAGGACTTTGTGAGCCCTCAAGCGCCCCCTATGCAAAACTTTTTGCATGTGCGTGACTGCGTCAACTTCAACGTCATTGGCCAATCCACTGCAGAAGGAAAAGAACAAACGTCCAATCACGTTAACCTATTTTGTAATGTGACACAGAAAAAGAGATTTGATTGGTCTAATTGGTCTACGTAGCTCAAAGAACGCAGTAAATCCAGGAAGAGATGGTCGGAAGGAAAGCAAAGCGTCAGTGATATGATCCCACTGAAGAGCACATAAGATATTTTTACACTAATTAATATTTAAGGACGTTTATTCCTTTCTAAATCTGAAGGATTTATATACTATTTCCTGGCAGTCGATAAAGAGAGAAGAGAATGGCAGACGCATTCAGTCTTCAGAGGGTGTTAGAAACATTCAGGTCAAGTCTGAGTGAAAATAAGGAGGTTTACATTAAATATTACATAGCAGGATGGCAAGAGCTCGTCAGGTGAGAATTGTTTTATTGTGTTAAATAATTATTATTTGGGTGTGTTTTAAATAAGATGATCACGTCCTTTGAAATGTATAATCTTATTTCTATTTATTAAAAAATGGTTTTAGCACGAGGTTAATTTACGAAAGTTTTAATTAATATAAAATAAATATGGCTAACTTATAATGCTCAGTTATAAAAAAAAATCTGTGGATTAAAAAGGAAGTTTCTTCAAGCATCAAATACATAAAAGCATCATAAAGCTTTACATTTTTGTATGGTATTGTCCACTTTATTTTCTTCTGAGCAGTTGAAAAAAAATGAATTTACAAAACTAAAGAAACTACAAAACAAACAAACAAAAATATACACTACATTAGATATGACTATATATTTATCAAAAATATATATCTTTGACAAGTATATACGCCCCGACCACCAACATATCATTCTCCCTCCCTTCTCAAATGGAATGGTGGGCCAAATCAAAGGTTAGAATAGTTTGAGCCTAGTTTGGGCATCTCTGGACCATAGAATACAAAAGGGACTTTGTATGTTTTATTGTATTGCTTATATTGAGGAAAATAAATTAAAGAGAACAATAACATACAAAAAAAAAAAAAAAAAAAAACAACAACACGTAAAGCTATTAGATATTTGAAATAACTTTTCATATTTAATCCACAGTTCTTACATCAGATGACTGTCATATGCTTTGTCAGAATGTAGTGTTTAATATTAGTAGTAAAATATTAGTAGTATGGTCACTTATTCCTTATTATATTTGAATAATAACAATATGATATTTCTATTTTTACATAAATGTGTCATATGCTGAATGACGTTAAACATTATTTAATCGTATTTTGACTTTATTTTCAATAAAGTTATTTGACAATTAAAGTCACTGGTTATGTAAATGAAAATCTTAATATAAAAATAAATATAGTTAATTTATAATGCTCAGTTATAAAAAAAGATCTGTGGATTACAAATGAAAAGTTTCTTCAAGCATCAAATACATAAAAGCATCATAAAGCTTTACATTTTAGTAGGTGTATATATTGTTTAATAATATAATAACATTTAGTATGGTCACACATTCCTTAATAGATTTGAATAATAACAATATGTTGTTTCTATTTTTACATAAATGTGTCTCACGCTAAATGATGTTAAAACATTACAAAAGCGGTTAATTTTATTTCTTTTGCACTGTAAAATCCAAAAAGTTAAGGTGATTCAAACCGTTTGAGGAAACTAATTGCTACAAACCATTTATATTCAAAAACTAATCATAATGAGTATTGTGGACTTAATCCATTTGAGTAAATAAAGCAATTTTAGCACAGTTCAACCCAATAAATGAAGAGAACTCAAACCAACTGAGTATTGTAAAACCCAATAAGTTAAGTAAACTTAACCCATTTGAGTTAAAAACAACAACAACTAATCTATGAGTATTGTAAACTTACCCAATTTAAGTTGAATGAGGTATTTAATTAACTCATAGTCTTCAACACTGAGTTCAAAACTCTTTTCAAATGAGTAGAATTAACTTTCAGTAAGTTTTGAGTTAACTACACTCATTTCATTTGATAAAGTTGACTGTTGGGTTTTACAGTGTAGTGTGTGTGTGTGTGTATATATATATACATATATATATATATATATATATATATATATATATATATATATATATATATATATATATATATATATATATATATATATTAGATAGAGAGAGAGAGAGAGAGAGAGAGAGAGAGATAAAAGTCAGAATTATTAGCCCCCTTTTGATTTTTTTCTTTTTTTAATATTTCCCAAATTATGTTTAACAGAGCAAGGAAATTTTCACAGTATACCTGATAATATTTTTTCTTCTGGTGAAAGTCTTTTTTTTGTTTTATTTCGGCTAAAATAAAAGCAGTTTTAATTTTTTTAAAAACCAATTTTGGGGCAAAATTATTAGCCCCTTTCAGCTAATTTTTTTTTGATAGTCTACAGAACAAACCATCATTATACACAAACTTGCCTAATTACCCTGACCTGCCCAGTTAACCTAATTAACCTAGTTAAGCCTTTAAATGTCACTTTAAACTGTACAGAAGTGTCTTAAAAATATCAAGTAAAATGTTATTTACTGTCATCATGACAAAGATAAAATAAATCAGTTATTAGAAAAAGGTTTCTAAAACTATTATGCTTAGAAATGTGCTGAAACAATCTTCCCTCCATTTGACAGAAATTTGGGAAAAA